GTTATTATTTAAAATATTAAAATTTGTTTACAAATTAATATTTTTAAATATTTAATTAATTATTTAAAAAAAATTATTGTATGTCAAACTAAATAACATCTGTATACTTACCAGTTATTTGGATTGTCAATTTTGAAGAAATGTTGATTTTTTTTTTTTTTTGGGTTTTAATGGTGGTCAGATTCTTGCACAAACGTTAGAATTGAGGACTGTTACATAGTCTCCGGCGACGACTGTGTGGCGGTGAAGAGTGGGTGGGATGAGTACGGAATTTCATTTGGGATGCCCACCAAACAGCTGGTTATCCGGCGGCTGACGTGCATTTCCCCTTATAGCGCCACCATTGCGCTGGGGAGTGAGATGTCCGGCGGGATAGAGGACGTCAGGGCGGAAGACATCACCGCCATCAACACGGAATCCGGTATCAGGATCAAGACTGCCAGAGGGAGAGGAGGGTACGTGAAGGACATATACGTCAAGGGAATGAAAATGAACACCATGAAATGGGTGTTTCTTATGAGCGGAAATTACAAGGCTCATCCAGATAATAATTACGACCCCAACGCATTGCCTGTGATCGAAGGAATCAATTACCGGGACATGGTGGCAGACAATGTGAACGTGGCCGGAAGATTGGAAGGGATTGATGGTGATCCCTTCAAGGGTATCTGTATATCTAATGTTACAATTGGGATGGCAGCAAAGTCTAAGAAGGTGAAATGGACTTGCAGTGACATTGAAGGGATCACAAGCGGGGTGTCTCCTCCGCCCTGTGACCTTTTGCCTGATCAGGGGCCGGAGAAGATTAAAGCTTGTGATTTTCCGACGCAGAGTTTGCCGATTGATACGGTGGAACTCAAAACATGTACCTATAGATTGCACTACATGTGAATTTTGTAGCAAGGAACTTGAGTTTAGCTTTAGCTCCGATGAATATGTAACAGCGTTCCAAGCTTCTGGGCTTCAGACAAGATAAATGATGGAGAGATCTGTCTGCTTGTAGTATCTAAAAAGTTACAACTATTATATATGGAAATGCTATGGTTGAATATCGCATGGTATTGTAAGCTTACAACATAATGTGTTACTATAAAATCGACTCTTTAAATTTAGAGATCAATTTGCGATATTGTACACATTCACTTATTTAATATCATGTCATAATTGCAAACTTATAATTTTATGTGATATTGCAATTATAATATTATTGATATGTAATCTTTGCTAGTGAAAATACAGATAATCAGATCCATTTATGATACAGCAAAACTAAATACAACTGAAGACCCAAAAGGAAAAAAAATCCAGATGAAATCCTGTTCTAGGAAACTACTTAATTCATCTAAACAATTTATACATACTGAAGCAGTTTTATGAAAGATTATAGATACAAAGCAGTTCTTCATGTATTTGCAAAAAGAAAGAAAGTCTAAATGAAATAGTCAATGCTCCATGTGTAACGATTTGTAATAACAAACTCCTCAAAGATGAAATGAAGTGATACCTGGAGCATGAGTTTGCATAATAACCTCTACAGTCACAGCCGCATCAACTAGGAGTTGGGAGCTTTCAACTACAGTTCCTGTTAAGCATTTGTAGGATACAGGCAGCAACAAATGAGGGAATATTCATATGTTTGTTGAGCATGTTATCTTCTCAATCTCAGGGAGACTGATGGGTTCAACATAGTATCATCGCATATGAGTCATGAGATGCTACTCCAAGTGGATACAACATATCAAACTCAATGAATTGGATCTGGATTGAACTTTACAGATTCTTGATAGATAAGCTCCTTAATGTTTTCTTCAGTAAAAGATGGTTGGTCAAAATCAAAACAGAAAGGTCTTGGACAAACAGGCTCCACATTGATATTATGCAGGGGTGCCAAATATGGATGGGATAAAGCCTCATCAACTGAAAACCACAGTGGGGAAAAATAGATCAGATGATAACAGAAGAAGGGGCATTTTTTTATATAAAAAGGAGAGGTTTGTGCAAAACATGATTCCTTCAATATAAACATTTGACATTTCTAATGCTTATTAAGCACAAAATCTAAGGAACTTATTTTTTCAATCATATTAGGAACTCAAGATTGTGCTAAATCCTAAAATAAAACAGAAAGAGAAACTAATGGTATGAACCTCATATAGTACCAAAAAAAAAAAAATGCTGCCTCCACATCCTACATGAATTTGAATCTTGAACTCCAAACATTACCATAACCAGCTGTTAGAAACCAAATACATATTATACCTGTAATACGCCTATTTGGGTCAAAAACTAGCATCTTTTCTAGCAAATCTACAGCACCAGGAGACATGTTAGGAAATCTGGCAGAAAACGGTTGCCTGGGGTATTGTGGAAGCTGTCTTACATATCTTCTGGCATTGTCACTTCTTAGAAACCCAAGGCTGGAATCATCAGGTGAACCGATAAGCTGTTTGAGGCAAAAGGAAATGGTGCACAAGGTCATCCTACTTCATTCTACCAAGATAAAAGCAGCTCTATACATTCAGAGGACCTCCATGTTATATACAAACAAAAACAAGTTGAACACAATGAAAGGCATATAAGAAAAGAGATTCATGTAGAATCTTAAACAATAATCCAAGTAAATGAGAAGTTATTCAAGAAACAAAGAAGAAGAACAAGTCCAGAAAAGAAGGGATCCTTCTAGCTGACCACAATATGGCTCATCTCTTGTACATCTATACCTGCCATTCAGAATTCAGAATAATGTACTTGTGCATGGGCAAGTACATTATCAAAGGCAGGACCCAAAGCATTGAGGTAAGTCAAACAATGTAGAGGGAAGCAGTAAAAATGTATGAGGGGTAAATGTGGAAAGGTGCATGGAAAGGAGTGTGATACTCCAAGGAAGACAGACATGCATAAGGGATACCTCTGTGATGAGTCTCAGCTGATGAACATAGTCTCTGCCAGGGAAAAGGGGCTGCCTGGTCATGGTTTCACCCAGTATGCAACCCACTGACCAGATATCAATTGCTGCAGTGTATTCTGAACAATTAAGAAGTAATTCTGGTGCTCGGTACCATCTAGTGACAACATATTCCGTCATGAAATCAGTTTCAGATGTTGTCCTTGCAAGACCAAAGTCTCCAATCTTAAGGTCGCAATTGGCATTTAGAAGCAAATTACTGGGCTTTAAATCACGGTGCAAGACATTTGCTGAATGTACGTATTTGAGCCCTCGTAGCACCTGATACAGAAAGTACTGCAAAAATAGGACTGAATTATCAAAAACAGTTCATGCTTCTTAGTAGGGCTGAAAAGGAAAAAAGGAAAAGAAAATGTCCATCTAAATATATTATATAAAGTTAAACATTAAATCATGTGTACACTGTCCACCAAGGTGGTATTCATACAGAAGACTTTGTTTATCTTGCAAAATAGAGATACAGAAAACCTTAACATGAAATGGGTTTTTAATGGACAGAAAGAATTAATAACTACAATTAGCATCAATCTTTGAAAGTGTTCAAACACAATGACAAAAAATACAGAGTCTTGTATAGAGGAAAAGGATGCAGTACTGACCCGACAATGATCATCTGTTAATGGTTGGTTGGAACGTATGATTTGATGAAGATCGGTGTCCATTAATTCAAAAACTATGTAAACATCATTGAAATTCTCCCTCCGTGGGGGCCGTATGATATCTTTGATGGAAATAACCTGCAAAAATTGATTGAAAAAATAAAAACTTCTGAAACAGAATGTGAAACCTCCTCTCATCTAACAAAATGTAGGCAATGGAGCAAAGGGATCTGAGTCACCCAAATTATCAAAGTAGCTATCAAAGTCTCCTTTCTTCTGCAAGTTCACAGTTCTTAAAAGCCATCCAGTAAGCATTCATACTAGTAATCTGAGGTGAAACAAGTAAACATGAGAGACTGTTTAACTATAGAGGTCATTGAACTTACATTCTCATGATCCATGTGTCGAAGGAGCTTAATTTCTCGCAAAGTCCTTTTGGCATCAATTCTGTTGTCGAATGCATTACCAATCTTCTTGATAGCAACCTCGTCTCCTGTCTCCGAATTCACAGCAGCACTGAAAAAAACCAAAAAAGGAAAAGAAAAAAAAAAATCAAATCTTGAACTCCCTAGCCCCAGGGGATATCCAACCAGCATCAAAATTCCGAACGGACACCAACACATATCTTCTCAACTTTCAGATACACCTTAATTTCATTTCTCAGCAAAGCATGCAGATAATAATGATACGCTAGTACAAAACCAAAACATAAAGCATATAGAAACTACAAGATCAAGCACAGGGTCAGCATCACCTCCTGAACTCTTTAACGTATACTAACTGGATCCTCAAACAAGCACAGATAATCAGACGTAACACCAGTAAACAAGAATCAATTGCTTACAAAAGAACTTCCAAAAACCAAAATCAACAATAATAATGGAAAAGATAAGAAAATAGAAACTCACCAGACGATACCGTTAGCACCTCTGCCGACAGGGCGAATAGGAGGGACGTACTTCCTAGAAACTTCGAAGAGATTACCGTAGACATTATACTGAACATAGCGTCCACCGTGGGTGGGTATTCCCGTGATGCTGTGATCCCCGGAACCGGTGCTTGCTTCCATTGACATATCTTGAGGATCCGAATGAAACAATCCGGACCCAACACGAACAGGGAGAAACCCAGAAGAAAAGAGAGGATTTTGAAGCTAAATTCAGGCGAAGAAGAAGAAGAAGAAGGAGGAGGGAAAAGGAGAAAGAAGGACTAAGTTCGGGGAGCGCGTGCAGGTAGGTGTAAAGTATTTTGACATTTAACTTACAGGGTTATTTTTATTGAACAAGTGTGTGAACCTTTTGAACTGGAAAAGCTTGAGTCACCCGTGAAGCATCCTCACCTTTTTTTTAATTTTCTGATAAGAATTTCTCGGTCTTTTCCGCCGTCCGATAGTGTGTACACCGGTCGGAGATGGAAGGACTTCTGATACGTGCTACTAGATAGGTTTTAGTTAATATACAAAAATACCTTCTTATTTTATTTTATTTT